AGGCCCCAAGCTCTGCAGCCACCGGCGGGGGCCGCGCTTTGCTCCTTCCCCTTGGCCCAGTAACCTTGGCGCAAAGGAATCGGGGGGCAGAGCAGCGGGGGGCGAATGCTCACTTCTCAGAACAGCGAGGAGTGTAGCTATCAGGCCGAAGTCTAGATAAACTGTAATTACTCCTCATATTTATTCGTTATTTTCACTTATTTACAGGATGATTATCTGGTTTTACCAGCTCTGTTAGACCGAATGCCTTTTCATCCCAGGATCATGAGGCAGTAGCTGCAGTCAGGAGGACGCTGCCTGCCAGCAGCACAGCAACAGTTGTTGTTATTGCAGCTATATGGGTAAAAATAAAACCCAAATGCTACAAGCCAATAGATAGAGAAACTGTTAATCAGAAGTGAACTACTTTGTTTCACTAACAGCAAATACAAGTTTCATGCACAGGCATTCAAGATAACCCCATGTGGAAGGAGGACAGCCACAAGTTTCTTGATGGAGATTGCATCAAATTAAAAATCACAGGGCAGATGGCATCTCTCTCAAGCAGTGAGAGCACTGGTTGTGGAAAGTCAACAAGCTCAGTGGACGCACACATCTGGCTTCGTTCTTTTCCCCTCCAAGTCCCTCTGGCCACCTTCTTTGTCCAATGACTTTAGAGATTGCCCTTAGTTTCTTCTACTGGAAGGTGGAGGACCTTGCCCATGACAGAAGCTGTATTCTGGACTGCAGGTCGTGTCTCTATCCACCCTCTGTGCACTCACCTCTTCTGGCAGCAGAGCTCAGGAGAAGCGTGCTCCCAACAAGGGTAGGATGGGGTAAGCAGGGATGTAGGAGTCTGAATGTAACCAGCCAGGAGGCCAGAGAGGATTCACTAGACACAGTTTTTGATACTGTCTTCCAAGACACAGAAATTCTTCTACAGGTCAGAAACCCAGTATCTAACAGTACCTGGGAATCCTCCCACCCATGATGGTTCAACATCAGCAAGATGACAAAGATACTCCAGTTCTGGACTGATCTTGTAAACCATGCTGACACTGTATTGCTGGCTTCTGCCCCAAATTCCACCCCATCCTTGAGGACAGGGGCTGCTTCCAGCCCTACCCCACTCCCCCGATGAGCAGGTGCTGTTAGCACTTGCCCTGCAAAGAGGCAGGAAGAGGCATTCCAATGTTAGCACAACAGGTTATCCAAACAGCAGCTTATCTGAAGAAAAGGTGTGGTAGGGCAGAGGTGACCTGGAAGTTGGCATTTGGACCATGCTAGTCCAAACCTTGTATCTGACATAAAATAAGAAGGGGAACGACAGTAGTCATGAGTAGGTATTGTCTTATCTTATTGCCTGCCCCAGAACACTGTGGTGTTTGCAGCCCTTCAAGGGACTCAATATATTCACTCCCCAGCCATTCTGCATATGTCCTCCTCTCTTCTACTGGCACAATCTCAACAGCAGAATCTTTAAAGATCAAGTTTTTTCCTTGAAAAGTTGAAGAATCAAACATTTTGAATCCATTTCCATTGCTGCTATTTCCAAAGTAATCCTGAAAACAATACATATATTTCAGTATTTTGCAAGATTAAGTGCCACATTCCTCTCATGTAACATGAAAGACATTAGGAATTGTTTTGTAGATGAAAAGTGCATACACAACTGCAGAATCTCTCTGATGTGTTTGCTTTTAGACACTCCAGTAGATTAGATACAGAATTCTGCCATTAGCAATTAAAAGAACAGCATTTGTGATTTTGTTTTTTTTAGTTACTATCTGGAAAGAGCTGCATTTAAAAAAAAATTGTCTAAATATTGTTGTTTAATACAGGGTTTGGCTGCACAGGAGTTACACAAATGACTGAAGCTTAGCATGGAGATACTCAGTATTGCTTTTAAACTAGTTAACTTCTGTATTAACAAGAACCTAGCTGTGGCAGCCAGGCATGGTCTGCCTAGATGGTTTACCATATACATGGCTGCAGCATAAATATACCCAGCAACATTCTGTTGCACTCCTAGGAAGATTCCAGGATGGAAAAGTGTTGGCATGTACTCTATTTCTTGTAGACTTCAAAGTCAAGCAGTTTGGGAAAACACCTTAAGCTCCAGGAAGATTACCCCTGAAACCAGTGGCTAGGCAAAAAGGTGAAATCCTTTTGCACCAGAGTGGTTTTACTAGGAGAATTACACGGGTTCTATTTCACCACCTCTGTCCCACTCCAACAGCAGGGCTCTGCACAGCGCATGTGCTGCCAGGCCCATGATGCAGGGAACAGTATGGCAGTATGGTCCTGTTGTCTTTATCCTTGGTCTGTGCCAGACCATACGTAACTCCCCCACAGAATAAACGGATTATCAATACCTGGGCTTTGTCCAGCAGTCCGTACAGAGCGAAAACGCTGGTATCCGGGTGAACCATAATGGCCTGAGCTGGCACCTGAGCCAGGTGACATTCAGCAAACTGGGTGACTTCTGCACGGGCACCATTTGGACACAGTAACTGGAAATCACTGGACTTCAAGTTTTGGGCCCAACTATCAGTATTTTTACCTGGAAAAAGAAACTGGTCACTCACTGAATACTTTAGAGCAAAAAGGTTTAAGAACAGTAACTGATTTCTAATAAAGAGATATGTAAAACTAAGTACCATCTGTGTTCTCAAACACTGTCGAGTGCTTGACAAAGGCCACATCCCCAGAGTCCTGTGCCAGGCACCTTTGGGAAATGAAAGATAAAAATTCAATTCAAAGCATCTTTATGTGAACCACATTTTTTCTAATAACTGAAAGGTTTAGAATTCATTTTTTCTTACATAAATTCCTGCAAACAAATGCACTGGACCCTAAGACAATAAGAAAAAAATCAGAGAAATAAAGCATCTTAAGAGAAAACCAACATCTTTGCAAGTTTATTAAAAATATTCTGAATTAAGAATTTTAAGAGAGAAATACAGCAGGATTTTTTTTAATTAAAAACAGTGTGAGACACGAAAAGGCCAGTATTAGATGAGCAAAGAAACACAAAATATGTGACTCAATGAAGCATTCCCCATCGACTAGCTGCAGCTTCCACTCCTTTTTAAACCATATACAAAGTATATGTCATTAAGACTTTTTTGCCTAAAATCATTCGAGTGCATAGCCAAAGAGTTTATAAAATTCTGCATATATGCATGTGTGCACACTCACACTGTATACTTTTTTTTTTTTCCTCTTCTTTCCAAGTTAGAGTGACCGTGGTGCTCGCACAGACACTGCTTCTACAGCCCTGCACGCTGAAGACATCCAGCTGATCTAACTGCAGTTTCTAAGGATACTCTTCCAGAACTAAGTCTCCCCTAACCTTCTGAAGCAGAAGCGGCCCAACATGCCAAGGGGACCCTAAAATCTCCTCCCCTTCTACAAGTGTGGTATCCCATTCCAGAAGGTTTCAGGGCAGAGGTGTAGAACAACACACCTTTATCAGCATTTGCTGTTTCCCACCTTACATCTTGGTGGTGTCTAGTGCACGATACAACAGGCATCACAGACTGTTAGATTTTTGCTAGGCCTGAAATATGAAGTCAGCAGATAGGATAAATGTATGGCATTTGCTTCAAACAGCAAATAGCACAAATAAAATCAACCTCAATTCAGTGAGCTGAGTGAGCTAGCAAAGAGATCTAACTTCCCAGGTATTTTGGGTAGTGTGCACTTGCAGAGGATGGGTGGTAAGAGAGTTTAGTGGTGGTGACTTGTAGTTTATTCAATAAGAGTTTTCAAGATGCATCTCCTAAAGGAAGACAATTTAAAGCTGTAACTGAGCATGGTTTATATAGCACAAAATGTGAGGGGAAGTTATTATTGCTAACAGTTACCAAAATTACATATCTATTCCACATGTACCCAGTTTAACATGCACGGTTATAATCAAAGGTCTTGTCACCATGTGGCTGACCCTGTCATGCAGAGACCTGAGGACACAGTAGGTGTTGTTTCCCATCAGAAAAGGCTGTTCCCAACAGACATTTCGGTACTCTGACAGTTTAATCTACCCCAAGTAGTGAATTATACACAAACTGAATGACCTCTCATACCTCTAGTCAGGTTAGTCTGAAGATCTGCAGAGCTGAAGGAATCTGGAAATCTGAAGCAGCATTTTAAGCTCATGTCAGCCATTCTTCTTTCAGAGAAGATCACCTAACCATCACAGACCATCAGACCCATCCCTACCTTGCAGAGGAATGTGACCCTCCATTTTTCACCCAAATCCTAACCTTTTAAATACCTAAAACTTTCCACATCACTCAATGAATTAAACATCTTCCCTATAAAAAAAAAAAAAAAAAAAAAAAAAAAAAAAAAAAAAGAAGAAAAAAGTGATCTCCATATAAAGTTTGGGCTGTATGGGTACTATTATCAAAAGCACAAACTTTTAATATGAGCAAGACTCATACAGCCTGTAACAGCATTTGTTGCTTACTCCTTTGGTGACTGGTAGCTAGCTCTTAAGCTATGAAATACAACAGAGTATGTGGAGTTTGTCTGCAAGGCATGGACCAAGGCAGCAGCTGGACACAACGAAACAGATTAGGAAAAAGTAGTTCTCTAAGTCTAGCACTTCATTATTTACCAGGCAGCTGCTGTTAGTCTCCTCCCCCGAAGGAAACTGAATCTCACTGCCAGCTCTGTTGCATGCACCACTACCTCAAGGTGAAGGCATTTACCGCAGGAAAAGGAAGTGCTACACTACTAAGAGTTTCATTGTCTTTGGGCATGGCCCCATATGTAGATGCCTGCTGTTACACAAAGTATTTATTCCATTTTATACTACTTCCCTCTGTACCTTTAAGAAATCTTGTTTTGAAGAGGATTTGATGTTTAACATTGACCACAGTTGTTCGTGCTGTTCAGAAACCTGCCTTCACATACAGCCACCGATGAGTAGGGACAGGGAAGACCCACTCCTGGCTCCCTTTCAGTAGCCTGCCCTGCTCAGCATGGACTCACAGCAGCCAGATACCAGCTACTATTTGCCTGCTTCCCTGCTAAAGCTCTTTATGGATGACCCAACCATTCAGAGTGGCAGAGTGTCTGTCACACTAAAAGCAAGACTGGAGACCGATGACAATCCACTTGGTCCTCACATGGTAGGTGCCCATTGCTCTATAAACAGAGACATGGATTTGGCTGATGGCCATCTGCTTGGCTGCAGGCCAGGAAGCTGGCAAAAGGCTTTGACATAATCTAGTGTAATGACTTATGACACACCTATATTGCTGAAGACATCTGGGGACACATGGCCCACTTCATTTATGGCACATGCCATCTAACTGAAGCCACAGTAACTGCTTTTTGCTGACTGGGATGGAAAATAGCTCCTCTTTGCACTTTGACAAGCTGACAGACTAAATAACCCTATGTATTAATTACCTGAAGGCTCCACTGTAGCTGTAATAACGTTCTTGGCTACTTGCACTGCATTTATTGTTTCCATGATCATCTCCAATACACAGCTGACAGAGTTTTGATGGGTAATTGTCCTGTTTAGCTGCAGGCACACAGCTGGCAGAGAAAAACTCACTCACAGCTGGAGAAAGACAGACAAACCAATATAAGGAGTGAAAAGTGTGACCTCTTCACAATAAAGGTAGTTAGATTGTAATGAAGTTATAACCAATGCAGGTTTCAGTAGAACACTAGAAACATGCCTTACTGGAATTCACAAATGACAACTTTTAAAATATTTTCAAAGCAACACTAGGTTAATTATGTAATGACACCAAAGAGTTTCCTGGGAGATAGGAAACTGGCAAGCAAAATTTGAATCTGGAGTCCTATGGTCACAGATCCTTTGCTTGTTATGCTACATTGTTCCATTACTAAATAAAGTTTGAAACCAAATGCACTGAAATTCAGGACAAGGATACATCATTTACTGCAGTGACATCCCAGAGCTGGAAGTACCACCTAGAGGGTGTACAACTGTATAGACAATGTGAGTTTCTGTGACTGTCCTATTATTGATATCTGACTTGGGTCAGTATCCTCAAGCAAGAGCTGAGGCAGACAAGTGTGAAAGCAAAATTTTCAAGATCATATGATAAGCTAAAAGTTGATGAAATACAAAAAGCAATGGACTCTTCAAATGCATTTCTGAAAACTGGAATAAGCTTTTGCAGTTTGATACACCAGAGGCCAGGGCTGCCACTGAGATGGACCCTGACAGGCTGAAGAAACAGGCTGACAGGACCCTCAAAGTTCAACAAACATAAATGCAGAATCATGCTTTTAGGACCATGAAAGACTGGGGACTGGCAGGCTGAAAAGCAGCTCTGTAAGAAGAGGACCTGTGGATCCTGGTGGACAACAAGTTAACCAAGAGCCAGCAGCATGCTTTTGTGCCTATGAAGGCTAATAGCATACTGGGTTGTGTTAGTGGAGCACTGAAGGGAAGAAATTACTCTCCTCTGATATCTGTGCCAAGTTTTGAGCTTCCAGTTTAGAAAGACATTGATATTCTAGAGCAAATACAGTGGAAGGAGAGTAGAATGCTCAGAGGGATGGAGCACCGGGCTGAGAGTGGGTTTGGTCAGCCTGGATATAAGACTGTGTATTGCTGTCTTCATTTACCTAGTGGATTATTCAAGCTAGATCCTTCTCAGATGCAGAGCAAAAGGATGAGGAGCAACAGACTGAAGTTACAAGAAGGAAAATTCAGATAAGATACACGAAAAATATTCTTTATACGAAGGATGGTCAAGCACTAGGATAGGGGTATAGCAAGGTTGTATGTAATCTCCATCCTAGGAGTTACTCAAAACTTGCCTGTACATGGCCCTGGGCAGTCTGATGTAACTGGACCTGCTTTGAGCAGTTGGTTGGACTAGATGACCTCCAAAGGTCCCTTCCAACCTAAATTAGCCAATGATTTTGTGATAAAGAGGCAAAGGAATAGTTTTGTGTTAGATATAACATTCTCAGTATGACCCCTCCATTAGCCTACTCTGGTGGCAAACTTAAAATTTCAGATCATTACATTAAAAACACAATGCCCCTTCACAAACAGATGAGCTTAATATAGAGCTATGAAATGTCAAAATTACTTCCCTAATGAATGTTTATGATTAGACTGTTACTGCATTTTTGACATGTAGTACTGTTGTTTTACCTTGAGGAATATTACAGTCTCTGGCCTTGATAATACCCCTCTTTATTAGCACACCAATGGGGATATTCCATCCAGCAGTTCTCCCCAGTCCTGTGTGGCAGGACTTCTTCCCTTTCAGGTCACTGATGGTGAAGGCATTGGACGGACTTCGTTTCACCAGTGCCACAGCATAGTATGCACTGCTGTTGTCATCCGCTTGCAGAAAAAAACCAAAATGCATTACAGCTTCCTTTAAGCATTCCCACTGCTTAATGATCATCTACAGATCATTACACTTACATGGTGCCAACTTCAACTGCACCAACAATCAGCTGGTCAGGAATTATAAATGTACATGTAATTATTCTTCACTTCTACTGCTTCACAATGTTGCATTCGCTTATAGCCTGTATACTGGTACTGCTATGCACTTGAACTGAATAACCTAGAGCTGAACAGGGAAGTGTTCTTGTTAATATCAGCTCTTATAAATATATCCCCTGAAAAACAACATTTGGGCCATTAGTGACTTGGCAAAACTGCTTTAAGTAGTTATTTTTATGGGAAAAGTCAAGCCTGTATTAAAATTTCTATGAGTTTTGCAGCATACTGAAATTCTGCCTTAGTGACACAATGCCCACAAGTCCTTTTTCATCAGAATCTGAAGCAGCCACACTGACAGGGAGAATTTGTTTCTAACTAGAATCTACTGTGTAATTTCTGTATTTCTGCTTATGGTAAAAATATTTTTATTTTGTGAATACTATTTTTTCCATTGTAAATATTTTTTTCAGAATTGAAAAGACAAATAAAGAGGTACAAGACTCAAAACTGCCACAAACTCATTGTAGGAATTCATCCCATACTTATTTCCTCCTCTACCCATGACAGGAGGATAGTAATTCTCATTTCCTTTGAAAACAGTTTTCCCAGCAGTGCTAGGCAACCAAAGTTGTGCTTTTAGAGCTATTTTCAAACAACCTGGAAAAATAAGGTCTATATTTATGTTTCCTGACCTTCTTACCAGAGTAACTTTCTCCAGCAGCTGGTACAAGGCCGTATGTCTTCCCAGCTGTGTAAATATCAGCTCCACCCAGAACTACAGCATCACTTTCCTTTTTCTGAAAAATAAAAGTTAGGATACCTGTTGCATCTGGAAGGGCAAGTCTGACAGTAAAAGAGCAATACACTGCTACAGAAACCCCCAAAAACCTGCATAAAGCATCATCAGTGAAATGAGGACAGGAGATTTCACACATACAGACTTGAGCTAGATGGGCAACAATGCCCTCATCACAACTGAGTATCATCAGGGTTCAGGCCCATCCATATCATGTGAACTACAGATCACCTCTGTGAAATCCAGTATTTCTGCTGGTCACATAAGGGTGTATCCATCTGATCCTGCCTACCCAGCAGAGAGCAGCTTGTGTTCATTTGGTTTACTGCACAAGGCTTATAGCAGCCTACCTGGATCAGCTCCATGCACTGCTCCTTTGTCTTGGCTGAAGTACACTGAATTGCTGGTTTCAAATTCTTTTTCTTAAAGGCAACGGCCATTTCACCACATTTCCAAATCTCCTCAGTGGATATAACACACCAATTCAGGCTTTCTGGCAATGCTGCACACAAATGGAAAGCAAATACGACAGTTCAGTTTCTTTGTAATAGACAAGGAGGGACACACACTGCCCACTGTCACATACATACCATACAAGTTATTAAAAATGTTTACTTCTGTGTTTCTCTCAATCTCAGACTTATACCTGACTAGGAACCACAGAGCTCTCCTCATTAGTGTTATGTCCACACTGCAAATCTATCCATAGCAAAGGAACAAGAACTCCTACAATTATTGACCATTTAATGCAGCTGTAATGTATTAGCTGGGTGGAGCAAAAAACCACCCTGACACAGGCACCCTCATAGCTGACAGTCACTGAGCAATGCCCAGAAGAGACAAGTCTGGGAGGTGGGGGCTTTGCCACAGCACAGAGCATGGCCTCTGGGAGGCTCAGTTGCCATGATTATTACATTTCTAAGGCAGAGATTCTTACAACTTGTGTTTCTGGCTTTGTCAGAATGCACATCATGTCATTTCTGCATTCTTCCAATAGTACCAAAGACTGTTAACTCTTCAATAAAGAGCAGCTGAGGGTTTCTTCAGCTTCTGGAAGAGATTCTCTGCTAGGAACCCATTCATACATTCTTTACATATTACCTGAGGATTTACACAACACACATTACTACTTCCCCTTGTTAGCAGGTAAGAAATGGAGTACCAGGTAGCAGTAGCAATGTACCAGATTGATGTCTCGCATATAGCAGAAAGGGTGGAAAATGCCCGCACCTTATAACACAAAGTGGGCCAATTTGCACAGAAAAGTATTCTGCAACGTGATACTCTTTCTAGGTCAAAAAGAGACCTTTCTCCACGTTCAATGATTAGGTTGGCATCTTGCCATAACCCTCCAAGAGTCAGAGGAAAATAAAGCAGAATAAAGATGGTTTCTGTTATCAGATATCTCTGTTCTTGGTTATGAATAGGAATCTAAAGATAACTTACTGTTGGGGTTGCAGCTCAGGGCTTGCATGGCATGAAGATACTCATCACCCAGCCATGCCTGGTAATTCTGAGCTGTGATTGCAACGAGCTCTGTGGTGGAGTCTCTGAACAGAAGATTCTGGGCACCGTAGGCTGCCGAGTCAAACATCTGAAACTTGGTGCCGACCCCATTAAATCTTTGCTGTCATGTTAAAGAAAGAAAAAAGCACCTGTCACACACCCCTCTACCTGGGATGTGTGACATCCCATACCCCTTCAAACCCCACAGAGCTGAAGGTGCCCAGATATCCTGTCTTCAGTTCAGCTAGATAGGTGGGAGAGGCCCTCTAAAACGCAATGCACTGATGGTGTCGTACTTGTCCCTGGTTCAGCAGCTGGAAGACAACTGTCCCATCGGTGTCAGGCCGCGCAACCACGGCACGAGCTGGGACTCGGGCCAGGTGGCAGGTTCTCCACTCTGTCACATCCGCTGTGTTGCCGTTGCGGCACAGAAGCTGGAAGTCTCGGGAGCGAAGCCGCTGGGCCCATGAAGAAGAACTTTTACCTGAAATCAGACAGAACATGCTTGTGGAACAGACATCAGGTGGGGCTGATGCTTCTGGCTCCATCTCCGCTCTAAGTGTCACGTGCACACGTGGAGCAGAACACGCATCTCCTGAGCATCTCTGAACTATTCCTGACAGTGTATCCCATGCATCTGCATGGTCCTTTAGTCTTGTATCTCTGATAAAGACAATAAACAGCTCGTGAGAAGAGATACTTGTGAGACTGCTCTGAACTGTACTGGGGTCTGCAGCAGGACCTAGAGCCTCCCTAAGTCTAGGATCACATGCCACTTTCCTTTTTTTGTTTTTTTCCCTGTAAATGATGGTCAGACAGGCCCATGATATTAAAGTATTGTTATGCTCAAGGTAGATTTCACTAAGTGCCAGATAGGCCAGGCCACATCTTCTTAACTTCCTGCTAGTCTCTGCTGAAATCCCTGGGTAGGCAGGAGCAATATAACAGCCCAGGTCTTTATAAAACTAAGAGTTTAGTGTTGTTTAAGCTCTCTTTCCAGAATAAAATTAAGATTCCAATTCTAATCTTTACTGAAACTATCAAGCATTTAAAGAAAACAAAACAAAATAAAAGGATCACAGGGACTCCTCTGTTTCCTCATGCATACATCTGTGAGTGCATCTGTTTTCACTATTAGAGCATTTTTTGCTGATTCCTCAATTCAAAATAAATCAAACATTCGATATTATTCTGTCATTATAGACACCATACTTCAGACCTTGCAGTCACTGTTCGACAAGCTTCTGGATTACTCACCATCTGTATTTTCAGGCACTGTGCTGTGCTTCACAAAAGCAACCTCTCCAGCACCTTCAGCCAAACACCTAATAAATATAAATCCAACCATGAAGACGCATTACAAAGCACAGCTCCCATGCGCTGGACTCTGCCTGCTGATAGCCAGAGGGCTGTAAGCTATGATCCAGCAGCCACAGACACTGACCTATTTCTTCGTGCTGGGAGTTTTGCTCAAGGCAGAGACTAGTGGCTGTTAGAGCATGAAGTAAACTATCACTGTCATTTGGTGAACATGGACAACATGTTCAGTACTGCCTGGGACAAACACCATGACCTTCTTTGTCCAGGAGAGTTCTCTAAGGCAGTCACACAATCCTTTGGGGAATACATAGAGAGGAGCAAGAGTTTCACACGAGCAAATTCTGCTCTTGCTCAGTAAATGTTACTACCCAGGGACGGGGAGCTGTAACACAACACACAGACAGGAGGAAGGAAAACTATGGAAAGATTGGTGTGCAAAAATGTGGGGCAGAGCAGCTCAGTAATTCAGTGCAGCTGAGGTGGAGGGACTGAAATAGCTGAGTGGGGTGGCAGTTCAGCTCTCGGACTCCAAGGGTCATCAGGTTTTACTGGGAAAGATACAACCTGCAGAAACAAACACTCGGACTTGTGTTAACACCTGCTGGACAAAGCAAACAGCAGTGGGATTTCCATGCCCAGTGTAAGTGCTGTCTATCCATTTGGTTTTAATACTCAGGTATTAATACCTTAAATAGTGGGTTTAGAATTACTTTTGTTCAGTCTCTAGGTTTAAAGCATGGTTGTCCTAACACAACAGCAGATTTTCTAACAAGGTCAACTGGAAGTTCTCTGGCTTCAATTTCCTGTCAGTGAGGCCTGAACACAAAGCTATGGATAGAGCATAGCGCTAAAAAGATTGACAGAGCCATGATTTTTACCTGAAAGCCCCACTGTAGTCATAGTATCGCTCTTGAGAACTTCGTTTGCATTTGTTCTGCCCAGCCGAATCCCCTTTGCAGAGATGACAGAGGGATTTGGGATAGTTTGCACCATTTGCCCCAGGAACACAGCTTGCATTGAAATAGTCACTTACAGCTAAATGTGAAATAAGAATGAAAAATTTTTAGCAATGCATCAGCAAGATCCTACAATCTCACTGTAACACATCTACACAGTACATCTCTAAAAACGTTTAGAAGGGATAAGTCATTTTGTTCTTAAAAGACAGTTTCCAAGTTTAAAAAAACCCTGCAGTCTTCATCAGAGGCCTTCATTAGGCCTATTCCATCTCACAAGGGGCATCAAAACCAAGGAACAAAACAGCAGCTGGAACCAGACATTTCTGTCCACACACAAGACCATACGGAAAGGCACGGGTGAAGAACAATCTTTGCCCTGTAACCCCTACCTTTCGGAAGGTCACACCCCATCGCTGCCAGGCGCCCGCTGTCAATTAGATAGCCCACTGGCACATCCCAACCTGCAGTTCTGTTGATGCCTGTGTGACATGAACTGACACCCTTCAAGCTGTTGATGGTGATGTTGGAGCTCTTTCTTACCACAGCCACGGCATAATAGGAAGTTCCAATCTCTGCACCACAGAAAGGAAGAAAGAGAAGCGACCAAAGTAGCCTCGCAGCAGCATTATAGTGAGATACACTGATTTGTGGCCTCTTCTGTTTCCCCTACCCACAGGCAAGCCACATTGTTCACATCCTTGGTGAGAACCTGCTGGCTGTGAGTGAATGTCCATCATTACTTTTTCAGTGTGAAATGTCATAGTTAAAGGCCACAAGCAATCTGGTCTAACTTTTAAGGTCACCCTGCTTTATAAGGGAGGTAGGATGAAAGACATCCAGAGGTTCCTTCCAAGAAGAAAATTTCTCTGTCTCTAAATATATTTGGATTGATTACTATAATTAATACTAAAATAATTAATAGTAATAAGTAGTTATAATTCATGGTAAAAAAAAATTATTCCCCAGTTGTCTACTAATTTGATCTTAATTTAGACACAGCATAGCAAGTTGATGTCACTGGAGCATCATAGCTGATTTCATTTTCTTTGTTTTACAGTTTGAGATAACATACAGTCAAGAGTTTAGGGTCTGAAGTGACCATAAGGTCATTCAATCTCACTTTATTTATATTTATTTACTTTTTAGATTTATCTATTTATTTAGAAATCATTACATTTCATTCACTTTTCTCTGATTTGAGCTCAAAACCTGATTAATGGAGATAGCCAGCCTCTGGATTATGAGGCCCATTTAGTTTTGAGAATCTTAAATTCAGTTTCCATGTCAGGGTTATGATGTGGTTAATGGAGGAGCAGGGGGGCTGCTGCAGGTGATCCAAGTCCCTGCAGGCTGAGCCCAACAGGCACTTCTAAGGATGCCTCAGCCCGATCACACTAAGACCCAGCTGCAAATAAAATCCAGCTCCATCTCACAACAGAGTGGTGGGGCACCAGTGCCTGCAGACTGCTTCCAGAGCTGTTTCTTCCCTTGGGTCTCTGAAAGTTATGGGGGCCATCTTCCAGCTCTGAACTGCACAAACATGTTGACGCTGAGCCCTTAGTCAGGATGACAAGTCACCACTGAATTACCGTCTCTATCTTGAAAGAAACTCAAAGCTTAAGGACACCTAGATAAGGAGCAGAATCTATCAATTCCTTTCTTCCAGCAGGTAATCACATACACAATTAAAAATAAAATCTAATTACTCTAATTTATGGCATTGAGAGATAAACCTAATCACAATTTATGTTTTGCAATTCATTAATTTATCTGCAAAGTATGGAACAGAAAGGAGAGTAAGCAGTGAGACGTGAGACCGTACAAAAAAAAAAAAAGGGGGAGGGGGGGGG